GTAAAGCTGCAGAGCTTCCCAGTCTGTTGTGGATTTTCTTGTGATACTGAGAGGAAGATGAGTAGTGGGCAAGAGTTAAATGTATGGAAGTATTTCTTTTATTTGGTTTTCTATAGTGATTATTTACTTTTATTATTTACTTTTTGTATAGTTTCTAATAGTAGATCCCAGACTTACTACTAGAAGAAATTAATCTTTAAAAAAAGCTGCAGAGCTTCCCAGTCTGTTGTGGATTTTCTTGTGATACTGAGAGGAAGATGAGTAGTGGGCAAGAGTTAAATGTATGGAAGTATTTCTTTTATTTGGTTTTCTATAGTGATTATTTACTTTTATTATTTACTTTTTGTATAGTTTCTAATAGTAGATCCCAGACTTACTACTAGAAGAAATTAATCTTTAAAAGCCCTGCCAAAGTACACATACAGTTTTATGTGAAATTGGCATTTTATAAATTTGCTTTAGTATTAATAAACTAATTCAGCATTACAATTTGTGTTAGTGTTTGTGACGATTTATAGTGACCTTTATAACAGAATACTAAATACGTGTTTTCCTTAATAATACTACTTTAACATGTTTGAGGGACATTTTTTGTTTCATTACTTTTGTTATATTTAGTTTTCCTAAGCAATTCTTAGGGAATATAAGAAGTTCATAGCAAGAGGAAATTTTTTGCTGCTTTTAATAGGTATGTTTTGAAAAACAAAGCCACTTAAGGACCTGGAGGATTTTTATACATAGTTAGGACGAGCAATAATAACATACTTCATGATGAAAACAAATAGCATTCCAAAGAAATAGAATTTGAAGATAATTCTGGACCAAGGAAGGTTTGAAACTACCTGTAATAATTTATGGGATAGAGAAGAGAATTGCAGTAGAAATTAAAAAAAACCCAAGATGGCAGAATTTAATGATTTCCTCTTTGCATGCCTGCCAAAACTGAGGGGCTTATTTGAATAGGTGAACTTTTAAATTACTGAAGAGGACAGAAGTTATTTAGAGCCAGCAATAAAATATTCTCCTGTATTTTGAGTGCTAAAGCTTGTATTTTTAGGTGGAAGGCTCTTATGTGCATCGTGTTTGCATAGTGCTGGGTTATTCAGTTGTTGTGAATCATCTCGAACAGTTATTTTATTTGATTTTTTGTACTTTAACTGTTAGCAACCTTGATTTTTCTCTTCCAGTTGGTTTCATTTCTGCTTTGGAACAAGCTGATATGGCATCAGAAGCTCTTATCTTATCCAATCTGTGCAGTTCTAGGCCAGACTAGAGACTGAAATCTTTACAAATCACAAGGATATGGCAGAGTTGCAATTATTCTTGGCTAGCATGATCTCTCACAATTTTAATTTTTACATTTAATATATTCATTTAAAATATAAGGGAACAATTTATATCTGTAGAAACTGAAAAGAAAGGAATTGAAATGTGGAAAATAAAATTATTGTGTAAGAAAAACATTTTAGTAAGGGTAACATATTAATGAATTCAAACTGTAATTTCTTTCCCTTTAAATGAGAATTTGTTATAGCATTGTATATTATCAAAGTACCAGAGAATAATTGTTGTTCATAAGTCAAGTGAAATTATTTCCAATTTCAGATCAAGAGATGGACTTAATTATATACACATCTTTGCATGTTTCTGGAAAATTTTATCTTGCTCTGTTGACCATTTTGCCTATAATGAGAATGTTTTAAAACAGAGGATAGTTTAGACTGACATTTTAACAGGAGACAGGCCTGTAAATCTCATTGAATCTTAATACAATTTTTTTAAGTCCAACTCACTTAAGTCCTTTTGAAAATTTTACCTTATTACATCAAAATAAATGTGACGTTACTGAATTGTCATTTTAGAATATTAAATTGTCATGTGCCAGTATCAGAAATTATGAGTCCAGGGGCATTATTTTCATTACAAAGCAATAGAGGGAACTTGCTGCATTTAAGTTTCTTTGTTGAAACAATTGAATTAGAAAAAAAGAAAGAGGATTTTTCCCCCCCTTCAGTATCATATTTATCATAGTTATTTAAAATGCATGTGTTACATTAGAAATCATTTTGTTTCATTTCTGTTTATTTGAAACACCCTTTCTCTCCTCTCCGTTTCTTGAGGGCTGCAGCTCATATCAGTGCTTTATTTCCCTGTTGATTTATTAAAATGAGAGCTACATTTTGTTTCCTAATTTGAGGCCAGAACTGCAAGGTCTAACAAAAAGAGCTTGTTGTGTTAATGATTACATTATGTTACAGGAGTAGAAAAATATGGGCATATTTTCAAATTTAATTAACATGATCAGCCAGATAGAATGGCTGCTAAGCTGATGTTTGGACCATAGTGCTCTAAGTCTCATTTTAGACTCCATTAGCCCCATCTTTGTTCTGAATTTTCTGATTTGTCTCAATCACATTAATCACAGCTGCAGTAATATGCTATAAGTCTCGCTTTGACACAATGAAAGGACACAATGATTTTGATAAATAACAAGAATCAGGTGCTTAAGAACAAAGTAGTGGTCAGTTAAGTCATCCATTGCTCTGGCTATATAAAAGCTGTACTTATTGGAATATAAAACTTAATTATATCTAGTGATTTTGATAGTTTGCATCATAAATTATAAACATCTCTACTTGCTTGAAAATTGTATGTTCATCCAGCTTTTCTTTTTGAATCATCTAATAGGATAAACATATTGATAGTAATTGTGAGCAGTTCACAGAGGAACAAGAAGGCTGCTTTTTAATTTTTTAAATTGCTGTTTCTGTATTAAAAATAATACCTAGATCAAGTTGTTCATAGCCTCTTACAACTTTGAAGTTAACCGTGCTTTGAAGAGGTTGGACTAGATGAGCTCCCAAGGTCCTATCCATGCTAAATTTTCAAGATTCTGTGAAGATGACTTATTTTTCTTTTTTTCTTTTTTTCTTTTCTTTTTTTCAAAAGGAAGGTATCAGGTGATTGAAGGCATAATGTCTCCTGTTAATGATGACTATGGAAAGAAAGGCTTGGTTTCAGCCAGGCACCGGATAGCAATGGCTAAACTAGCACTGGAGACATCTGACTGGATTCGAGTTGATCCGTGGGAGAGTGAGCAGGAGACATGGACAGAGACAATAAAAGTATTAAGGTAATTACTTTTTTTTTCCTTTCTTTATGAAGTTACTGATTGCCAAAAATCTGTCAGGCTACCAGGTCAATGCACAGAACTCGCTCCTATAAAACACCCAAGCAAAGCAGAACATGTCTGTTTATGGCATCATCTGCTATGAGATAAAGTACGGTATCTGTGAGCAATGAAAATTCACATCACTTTCCTTCAGAAAGGCTGCATAGTCAGTATTCCCCACGTGGAGTCTTTCCTTTCCTAGTGCACAGCAGATAGGCCTTCCCCAGACCTACGTAATACTCCACAGTACTGCACTTGCGCCATTTAAGTAGTTAGATGCATGTGGAAAGCCTCTGCCAAGAAAGGGTCTTGCAAAACTACAGTCACTTGGCTGTCATGTTATTTCTCTTGTTTTTAAGTCTCTAAGTAGGTAATATAGAGATCTTAATCAGAAAGTAAGAGAGTTTACAAACAAACCTATTCTTCAGGAGCATCCCTATTCCAGATTAGCTATGTTGGCCTTATGCCTGCAGGTTTTTCTATTCACACATCCTTGAAAAGTTTTCTTATTAACTCTAATGGCAAGTTAAACTCAAGCCCATACCTGCTGATGTTTTCTTCAAAATCACTGAGTTTGCTGTGGTTTTGTGCTGGAAGGAAAAATTAAACAATTTGTCCAAAACCCGTTAACTTGATGGAAGGACCTTGAAATGTGCCTTTTTCCCATATGGTTGGTTTTGGTAATAAATGCATTATGGGGCAAGGTATGAAAACACAAACTTCTTGTGCTAGCCACTTTTTGGAATCATAGATGCTACAGAAGTCAACAGATATTGTTAAAGACTTCATGGATGTCTTTCAAGAAGGCAAGTGTGCTGTAAGAACTATCAATGATTCTTCATTTCTATCCACATTTTCTAGGTTGCTTTCTAACTGGAAACAGTTGTTTGTATAGCTTAAGGCTCTAAAATGTGCCTTCCAACAACTGACCAGAAAGCTCTTGTGGCTCTGTGTGAAAGCAATTAAAAACCAGACCTGTTACTTTACAAAAGCATACATAAGAATACCCTCCATACTTACAAAACAACTAGTGGAGCCTTTTAGTTCTGCTTTTATTTGCTTTGCTGAGTGAACATAGACATCCAGTTGCTTCTTTTGCCCCTTCCCTCCAGCCAGCAGAATAGGATCGGGGCAGGAGGAAGATTAGGCAACGCTGCCCTGTCTTTGCAGAAAGCTTCTCTGTTCTTTTCTCTAGTCACAATTGTATATTCCAGCGTGAGAAATCACCAAAAGGTCTGTCTTGCAGTATTGGTTGGGTATGGGATTTTTCTCCTAAACTTCAGTTTTGTAAAACTATTTTCCTCCAGAGAAGCAGCCACAAATCTTACAGATCAGGTGATCCTACCTACAAAGGCTTTGATCTTGCACAGCTCCAACTGAAGTGAGTACTACTTGTAAGATTGGGTTTGTAAATTGTAAATCCACTTCAGAGCCCTTTAGGATAAGAGGTACAGTAAATAAAACCTGTATGTATAATTTTCTGCTCAGGTAAAGTAGTATCACTATGGTATGAAGAGTCAAACTTCCAGTCTGCCTAGAAAGTGAACCTCTAGTTTTATAAATAAATTCACGAAATGTTAAAAGGGATGCCTGTTAAGGAGAGAAATGAGCTTAAATCTTTTTTTTTTTCCCAAATGATGACCTATATTAATGAGCTGAACCAGTGCCATAATCTAATGCTGAACCCTGTCCCTTGAATGGGGAAGCAGCATGCTGATGAAATAGCAGATGTAGGTATTTTGGCATTATATTGTATTTTAACTGTCACACGTGAATATTAAAAAAGAGGTGGCTTTAGCGCTAGATCGTTACCAAGTGTAAACAGGCAGTGGCTTACTGTGGAGTTGTGCTTCTTCACAACTGTTGAAGGTTAATCTGTAGATTGTTCCCTGATCAGAGAACCAAGAACCAATTCCTGCCTTCACTATAAGCTCCCTCAGGTAGGAAACTTTAGTACCAATAGAAAGAGATTTTGCTATTGCAAGGCAAAGGCAAAAAACATTCTTGTACCTAAATGTCTCTTCTTATCAGTATTTTGAATTGTACACTTAACTGCAGTAGAACATTGTGTCCTGAGACACATGAATGGCCTTTTCCTACAGTACTTGTTTTATCTGTGTGTGATGAAAATGTCATATTTCATCAAAATCTGTAGATTTTGCAAAGGCTCCCAAATAGTTATGACATAAAATAATTTTAAGCAGCAAAGCTCATATGCCATTTGTGGCAGTGTTACTAGTTGCCTGTTACATTAAGTGAGTATGGAAATTTTGGAGACTATCCCAAGGCTTTTTTTAGAGAGGAGGAAGGAACATGATAGAGTTATTTCCCACTTAGCTGCTGCTCCTGAATATTCTTCCTAGACAAGAAAACAGTATTGTCAGTAACCAAAGAACTACATTCATTCCTCTTGTAATGTAGATTTGATTGTGGTGCAGATATACTATGAATTAATTTATAATTTGCAAAGATCTATCTTACCCAACTTTCTTTGAATTGTGCTTGTGATTTAATTATATAGTTATTCAAACTTCATACACAGTTCAGAAAATGCTTGATAAACTGACAGATTGGTTTGTCCTTTTTGGTGTATCTTTAAAATAACGTAACCCTCCCTGCCCCAGCAGTTGAAACAGCTTTGAAACAGTTGAAACAGACCTTTTGGTAGTTAAGATTTTGCAGTACTTATAACATTAGTCCTGCAGTGAGCTCTTTGCCAAGAGTTCTTATTTTTGAATCATGGACCAAGAATGTCAGTCCATGATAGAAAGTTAGTGTACTTGACTATACATAGCATCAGCCTGTTTACAACAAGGCGGGATTAAAAATAGAAATGTGGGAAGGCACAGGCCAAGCTACTGCTACCTACTTTCTACTACCATATGTCCCTCACCTCTTGTCTATGCAGTTTCTTTAGCCAATGGCTGAACATCAAAAATTACTGGAGATAGTTATGCAGCCTGTCTAGGTGTAGGTTCTTGACACTTGTACAACTTATTGCTGTGGCTAAAAGTATTTGCATGATTTGAAGAGTGTACATTTAATTCACTAAACTATAAATTCATTCCTTTGGCCAGACATTCAAAGGGTTATCTATGGCTTTGTACACGTACTGAATTCAGACTGTACCTTGTAACTCATAATCTTTGCTTTGATACAGTTCTGTAAGACCTGATGGTCACTTTGGCGATATATGTACTAGACAGAGATGGGACACTGGCTTGAGTCTGTGTCTACCTGTCCTGTTTAACTGTGAGCTTGTTTCCTGAAATTATTTTGACTCATGCCAATATGAGCAATGCCTAAGCATGGCTCAGGATGGTGTAAGTCAGGGACTATTCTAAACAGGCAAGGCCATGCTGATTTGGAAGGAAGGGATTTTAGGTGTTTGGATCTAAGGTTGGCACTTGCCCTCATGATCAAAGAAGGGGCCACTACCATGAAGTAATAATACCAGTATTGCAGTGGGGCACCAGTGATCAGGAGCAGCAAAAGAATAAAGTAATAGAAACCTGGAAAAATTGACAAAAAGATCCTTGTCTGCCTTCATGAATCTGAACTCAGTAAAATTAGAAGCATAGCAGATGTCAAAAATCTTATGAGAATTGTGTATTTTGAGTTTCTCAGGATTGTGATTCTTTTAATTAAAATGAAAGGGAAAACCACAAGGTGAAAACTCAGGGAACATGTTTTTGTGGAGAAGAGGACGAGAGAGAACAATAATGTCTCCTCCTGAAAACTGAGCACACATTATAGAATCATCATCATGAGGGGTGGTTGTATTTAATGAAGAAATTAAATCTAGCGATTGAAGTGTGATTTAATCCTGTTTCAAGCAAAAACCTCCACAATATTTTAAATGTTATGTTGCTACCAAAATTGCCGTAATGGTAGAATTTCAAAAAGGAATTGAAAACCAGAATGCCATTACAGAGGTTGCTTGAGAATTCTGCAAAATGTAGTTAACCTACATTGATACTAATCTCATGGTAGAATGAATATGCTAAAATCTTAACAAATTGTATTCAAATCCAAAGTGCATAAAAGCAGACTGTGTTCTTGAATCTGAAAGTGCCGGGTAATCGCTTTGTGCATCTCTGAGAGGATTACCTCACACAGAAGCCTTTATTTTAAATGCAGGCACCATTACAATGAATCACTCAGATTGCTCCAGTCCAAGAAGGAATTCATGAAAAACAAACAGCCCATAGAAAGATCTACAGAGGATTCCCTTTCTTACCAGCACTCAGGTTAGTTCATAACTGTAAACACGACTCTTTGTTTAGCATTAAAAACAACACAGCTTTACTAGACTAGACTAATTGATGAAAAAGTTGAACATAGTAGCTGGTAAGTTTTGAGGGTTGGAGCTGCCTGCCAAAACCAAGCCATGCCAAATGCCAGCATGACTGCTGGTGCAGTTATTCTGCAGTAACTCCCACATAGACCGGAGACTTATTTGGGAGCTGTATTAATGGTTGGTTTTATAAGCATCTCTTTAGCTGTGTCAGAGATGTATGTTGTGGCCCTGCTGGTTTTGCAAAGCATAGAATACATGAATAAAAAATATCAAGAAGTATTACTAAGGATTACTTAGAATTGTAATTCTAGTGTTAGACAATGGGCAAAGTATATGGATACCACACCAGTGATGCTGATGCATTGGTGTTTACTGCATTTCTGGACAGAAAAGCTTCTGTTGACATTAGAAGTATGGCAGGTTCTGGAAACACTGTCAGTTTTGGGTTTCCTGTTTTATCATATTCCCTAGCCCTATGACTTGCTAGGATGCTGCTAGATTTTTGATACATTACATTTTTCCTGTAGTATTGCAGCACTTCTTGGACATGAATAATACATTTACGTTGTTCACGGTTATACAAAAGTTTCCAAAAGATGAGTTGTTGTATCTTTATAGATGGTAGAGGGAAAAAAGTCTCAAGGCATTTATTTGGACTTCAGTGGAATCTTGTGTTTGATGGGGTTAATGATTGTTGGCAAGTGACAAGTCAGATTATTCCACAGTGCCACACTAAGGAAAATCACTGTGAAAGTAGTAAAGACTATTTTAATTTTCCATTACAAAAAATTCTTTTCGCTATTATTTTCTGTAGTTATTTCAAGCTCTATAGCATTTTATGTAAAAATGGTCAAGAAAACAAATGTTAAAGCTAGTCTTTCTTTCCCAATAAAGATTCTCAGTTTAGAATTCATCAGTCATCATCACAAGATTCCTCTACAGTAAAAACAAAAGACATAGCAAAAACTGGGTGAGAAGGAGGACGGGCAAGAAATAGGTTTCTCTGTCTAGTACATAGTGGCTGGATTTTTTGGGGTTTGGTTTTGTTTTTTTTTAATTCTATTTGGCAGCTATCCACAAAGAACAATCCATTAGTTTGAACAGAGAAAGACTAGCATCCTGTTGTTACTTACTTTTTCTGCCTTCAGTGCTTTGACTAACTGGGTAGTGATTCAGATTTGGCTATATTAAACATGTGGCCCGCTAAGAAGGAACAGAATGGTTTCTTCCCACTACCTTTGGTCACTAGCATGGTATGGCATGCGGCATGGGGAATGATCAAGAGCTACTGAGAACTCCAGAGCAGAATAGAGTTCCTCCCCTTTCTCATAAGTAAATGTTGGCTAGCACAAACTTTCTAATGGCAGACAACTGTTACCCAATTCCTCCTCCCTTCCCCTCCCCTAGCCCCCAAAAAAACCCTCCCAGCAATGAAATCTGTTGAACTGGGGTTTTCTGTGAAATTTGTAGAAAGGCTGAGTCACCTAATGGAAGCTTTCACAAAGATGAGCTCAATGTCTGAATTTAGCAGTGGCAAAATTCCATAATATACTATTTTTCTACTGAATGTAAGTCTAATAAACTGTAAGACTTCTTTGCATGGTGCTGCACCTCATGATTTTGTTCCACATGAAATAATCAGGTCAGTTTAATATATATTGCAAATAAAAAGGTTCACTGAGGACAGGTATAGACAAATGATTGCAGTTTTAATAAACTTAGAATGGCTTATTGGTGCTAGTCGTTCAGGACAAAGATGAAAACAGCGAGACTATGGAGTTCTTTTTCTCTGTTTTTCAGTGTCCAGAGATTTGCTATCCCTCCTTGATTCACCAAATATAGCTCCATGTGCAGTATTTCTTCTACTTACAAGAGATGATTGATTGTCTTAATTTCATTTTTAATTGAATCCCCTGCATTTCGATTCCTTCAGTTGCCTTACATGAACAACTTTGTTGTCACTTCTTGAATGCTTTTCCCTGGCATATTCCAACAGCAGTCTCCCTTAATTAGACCTTAAATCCAGCTACTTCCTTTGTGTTAGTAGTTATTTCTCCTTTAGCTTACCCTCTCCTTTTTCCCTTCACTTCAAAGAATTGCAGTTCATTTCTGTCCACCATCATTGACTGAGCTATGCTAATCAAAAACAAGCAAAAATTTCCCTGATCCAGACATATCATGGCCTGAAATAAAGGCTATTGTACTTATCAAATATTGGAGCATTGCAGCAGCCATTTGGGGTTTATACCATTATCTATAGTGGAAGCTGCAGATCATCATTTAGCAAAGTGCCCTTGAAAGGCCAAAGACACATTTTTCTGATTGGCACAGAAGATGTGGGGATATGCGGAGGTGTATTTGTGAAATTGGCAGCCTTTTTGTAAAGCCTACTATCTGTTCATTTAGCTTCTAATAACCTAGAACTGCAATGCACATACATTCAGAGAAAACCCATCAACACTATAAAAGCTCTGATGTAATATTAGCTGTAATACAGCTTGGGACAGAGTACTGTTTTATTGTGAAGGTTGCTGTTAAGTGAAAAGCAAACTGTGACATAAAACCCAGGTAAGGCTCTGGAAAGCAGGGGATTGGAAACAGTCTAAACATGGAACTGAGGACAGGGAACTGGAAAGGAAGAGTAGAATCTGTGAATGGAAAGACAAGAAGATTGGAACAGGCATGAGGAAATAGATGGGCAGAGGACAGCTTGGAAGGGATGAAGCAGAAAGATCAGCTTTATCATGATAGAGCTGCCAGGGCTGTGTGAATCCTAAGGTTCTTGGTGTCTCATCATTCATCAGCTGTCAGAATTATCTGGGACATTCTTTCAGAGTTTCATACTCTTGTAGCCCTGGTCCACACAGGGATCACAGACAACTTTTGCAGGTACTTCTGCACTAACTCAAGTGTCAGAGATGAGAGCATTGAATCTAAAGGTTCCAACCTTGCAGATGTGGGTATCAAAATAAAATTTAGTGGGTAGTTTGTGGGGGAGAGGACTGTTACAAAAATTTCACATTCCTACCAAATACACTAATTACAAACTCTAAAAAAAACAGAATTATATTTTTAAGTATGTGGACAGTCTGTGGTGATTGTGTCAGGCATGAATGTTTCAAGATAGCCTTGTCACATACAGTCCTCCTTCTGTAGTAATGCTGCATTCAGAGCACAGGACGGTGCAGTGCCCCTGCCTTCTTTGTTGTAGGGGTTGGAAGGTATGTAGTGAGGTGTGTAAGAAGAGAAGAAATGCTTGCTGTAGTTAACTTAATGGTATATACGAAACCTCTGCAAAACCAAGTGTATCTTTAGGCACTTAAGGTATGCTTTTCATGCATCATCACTGGTATGTGTCTTATTTTTCGAATTGCTGATTTAAGGTGTTTGTGTAAGACTTGCAGATGTGCTAGATGTCTACAATCACAAATAAATGTAAAATGGAGAAAATACCTCCATCCTTCCCCTTCATTTCACATGAATGCAAGGCTGTGAAAATAACTAGTCAATGTTTGTAAAATACTCAGATGGTATAATGATGAGTGCTGTAGAACAGACTTTGAGGAAAGAGATAGTTCTGTACTGGGGCTTAGGCAGTGGGCAGCAAATAAGAAATGGAGAGAAAACAAAAAAAATTGTACTAGTGAAGTATCATTCTTGGTCATTGTTCAAGGTACAGCAAATTTAGCTTTAGATCTTTGTACGAGAATGAAAATGCCATGGCCACACAACACAAAATATAATCTGTGTAATACTCTGCTGGTTCAAATTTCTCTAAAAATAAAATAAAACTTAGTAGGTCAACTAACTAGCTTGTACCAGTAAGGGTAGTTAGATTGGATACAGACCGTCATGTTTTAGATGCAGGTGCACGAATCCAGGCAAAATTCTAGGTTGTTCTCTGACAGTATGCAAACCTTGTGTCTGCGTGCCAGAGTGCAGTAGGGCAGCCGCTCCCTAAGGGCTGGGGAGCCATACGTGGTAACACGGTGGCAGGCAAGGGCCTTGCTAGCTGGGGTTGGCCCCGCAGTACCTGAGCAGAGCGAGCAGGGGAGGCTGGGGTGTAGTAGCCAGGTTCAACCAAGTCTAGTCTTTGTGCTAAAGTAATTCTCTTCTTTATTTGCTTCTTCCCCTTTTTGGCTTGCTTGAGTAGAGGAATAATTCTCCCTTAATGTTGTACAGACAATATTTGATATGCTCTGAGTGATGATGAAGTAGGTGATAAAGTAATTGTGACCAGACACATAAAATCCAAGCTGAATTTTTCTAGCAACCTCCAGGAAAAAACCTCCAGAAAACTGGAGTAAAGGTAAATGATTAAAAAAAAAAAAAAAAAGAAAAAAAAAGTGATGAGTTAAAACCAGTTTTAAGTATAAACATCCTAGAAAACCAAGCAAGTATAGAAATCTCTCATTTCCGTTTGTCTTTCCAGTTCTACCAGAATTAAAGCTGCTCTGTGGGGCTGATTTTCTACAGACATTTAAGACACCCAATCTCTGGAAGGAAGAACACATCAAAGAAATAGTCGAAAAGTTTGGTTTGGTCTGTATTAGCCGTGCTGGCTCTGATCCTGCTCAGTATATCAATGAATCAGACCTTTTAACTAAATTTCAGCACAATATCTTTCTGGTGAAAGAATGGATTCAGAATGAAATCAGTGCAACACAGATACGCTATGCCTTGTGCAGAGGATTAAGTGTAAAATATCTCGTACCAGATTCTGTTATATCCTACATTGCACACCATAATATCTACACAGAAGAGAGTGAGCGGAAGAACGAAGGTGACTTGCTTCAGCCTCTTAAGTTGCATAGTGCAACAGTAAACCCACTAAATGACTGATGTCTGTAGTGTGTGAAGTGGACAGACCTGGTGTTTTTTCATGTAAAGTTCTTGAGAAAGTTGTTTCTTGTTAATGAGGGGGAAGTACATCAGTCCAAAATTTCTTGAATTCATGTGGTGTTTTAAATTCATGTTTTTGTGTGTGGTAGTGCTTAAGCAAATTGGGATGCTCCGCTGCATAGCTTAAAATATATAAAGAACAGCTTCCTTGTGAAAATAAAAGAAATAAGATCTTAACAATAAATATTAATCTCCAGTAATACTTAAGGGTCAAACATAGTACTTTCCTGAATTGTAATTCTGTAATCCTACAGACAGTTTTAGCATGAAGATGCCTTACTGTTCTGAAGCAGCAAAATAAAATGAACCATAACTTTTCTTTATATATGTATATTTAAATATATATTACTGCTAAACTTTGACTTTTTAGGATCCTGAATAACTTTTTGTGTTTTGGTGGTTTGGACAAGAGATGGAAATAAATCTTTCTTTCATGCAAGCACTTAAAAATGCATGCACCATTCATGTCACTTTTAAGCCTCCAGATTCACAAATGACAGACAGTCCTCATCCCCAGATTTAAAGTGGGGTTTCTTTGCTTCTCTGATCCAGAGTCTTCTATAAAAGTAAGTAATTGCCAAAGCTCTGGAGTAGATAACATATCCAAGAGGAACTTCAGCCGTACTATTTGAAAATACACAGTGGAAAATAAAGGAAAATAGCTAAGAGGCTGTCTCAGTATTTGAGCCCTAATGTTAGCCAGAAAAATCCATTCTCTTACATGTTGGTTGCCTATTCTGCTGATTCAGTATATCTCATTTTTGACAGAAGACACCTTCAAAGAATATAGAATCTTCATAAAGTGCTACTTCTGTGTTTCAATGTTGCTTAAATTAACTGAAAGCATATATTCAGTAGTGATGCGGCGTTTATCAATATACAGAATTAACCTCTGCTGCTTAGTAAAAGTTTCCAACTAACTGGCCCTTTTTGAGCTCTCAGTTGGGCAAACAGCTTCCGCTGGTAGTTCTCTAGAATTAAGGAGCTTGTGGAACAAGTTAAAGTAATGCCAGACACAAATTGCTTTCACTGAAAGAGTCTGTATGATCGTTTTCTGAAAAGAAGAAGGCATAAAGTAGCTGGAACATATTCAAGGAAGAAGGATTCGCCTCAAAAACCACACAAGATAAGCGCTTGTATAGTTTTGGCTAATACCCTAAACTAAAGCTATTTAAAAGGTTTTTTTCTGAGTGGCATGAAAAATGAAGAGTAATATGGTTAAAATGGATCTCCAGATAATCAGTACCCTTAGAGAAGTTATATGGAAGGTGAATGTTTCATTCTGTTTAAATCAAGTCATCCTGCTGTCATTAGAAATCTCAGAGGTTCAGCCTTGTGGAAGGATTTAAAGGCAACACTTCAATAATAATCGGATTAGAAGGACTTGCATAGCTACATGGTCTAAAAAAGAGATAAAAGAAACCAGAGTTCAGACTCGCCACAAAGAAAGGCAGTGAGCTGTGTGGTGCAGAATCAACACACTGTTCTGAGACTTTGATTTTGACAATTACCTAAAGTAGGGATGCCTGCAGATTTCAATGGTTACTGGAAAATGGTCAGCAATGACAATTTTGAGGAGTATCTCAAAGCACTGGGTAAGGTTCCCTTCGTGTTTCTTTAATAAATAATCAATAAATGCAACCTGTCTTCATCTTTACATGAATCTATTTTTTCTTGTACAGTCATAAATCATTTTTGTGAGAGACATTTCTTTCAGGAATGCACTTTAAGAATTGCCTTATGCAAAATTGTTTTGTCTTAAGCAGCCTCTACTTTTTACCATCTTGAAGCTTACATTAACAGAGATTAAACAACATAGCTTGAAGAGGTAAGTGGCAGATTTCAAACTTAAAAAAAACAACCATAATTTGAAAAAGAGTAAAATTTTTATGTGTAATAAAGAGACAATAATGTACTTAATGCAATTTTGTGTGTTTGCATTTGATGTAAAGTGCTAGTATTTCTATAGAAATATTGAAGGCCTTATTAACTGTCAAATACAAATGGTATTTTTTAGGATTCCACATAATCAGAAAATCAAATCATTAACTTATTTAAGTTAAAAGAATTACATAATGGACTTTTCCCTGATGAGAAAGCTGGCCTGAAAGATCTGGACATTTATTTATCTTTGTTCGTTTTAGTTCTCCCAAGAGCTACAAGCTTCTTTTTGTGGTAGACTTTTCTGGATTAAAATAATTCTTTTTTTTTTCAGATGTAAATGTTGCTGTAAGAAAAATAGCAAACTTGCTAAAACCTGACAAAGAAATCCTTCAGAATGGGGATCATATGATCATTAAAACGCTAAGCACTTTTAGAAACTACATCATGGAATTTGATGTAGGAAAGGAGTTTGAGGAGGATTTAGCTGGAGTGGATGATCGCAAATGCATGGTAAGAATTAGAACTGTAACAACGGACAGAAAAAAAAAAATATTAATAATCTGAGGCCTCTCACAGACCACATCTGTTAACGATTTTGTGTGGCTATTCCTAAAATTATTTCTGTACTTCTCAGTTTGCCGAGATGTGCACACAGTTTTTAGCGTGCCTTTACATTAAAGGGATGCTAATTTTAATCAGGAGCACAAAACAATTTTGTCAATGAATGAACAGTAACTTCAATGAAACGTTACTCAATTATACGGGATATTTGTTAGTCAAAAAGACATTTAGGTTCAGACTTTCAGAATCTCTTCACTGAGTAATGTTTTACAGTAAAGGAAATCCACTGATTGCAGGGTCAGGCACTATTGCCCATGTGTAAGAATGGCCAAGTGCTTAGAAATTGCAGCTTTTCTTTCTTGTTCTTGTTCCTGTGCTCCTTCCTTCCTGGGTGTATTTATTAGACCAGGCGCATTAATTAGCCCACTGGAACAAATCTTATTGCAATCAATAAGCAAACACTGAGGACTTTGCCTTATGAGCTCTTTTTGCTTGCCAGAAAGACAGTATTTTCTAACTTATGACTGATAAATACCAATTAACAGGGACAATCATGAGAATACCAAGTTCTTTCCTGTTAGCATGACACTTGCAATATCCTACAGTGACAAAGTTGATAAGCAAAAGAAAATTATCTCAGGAGGGACTGTAGAGGAGAAGTCACATAAAAAAGAATTAATAGGTTTCCATTCTTAGACATATAGCGCCATTTAAAACCAATACTATTCTCTAACGCTAGGGTATGCAAATTTGCTTTTGCTCTGGTGATGGCAGGAAAGGGAAAGATTGTGAAAATCAGAAAAAAAGAATGGCTAGCTAGCAAGTGCCTCAACTAATCCTTCTGTACTCCTTGTTACAGAGGGTAGAAGCATGACAGAGTGCAGAATACAAAATTCACAGAAGGGAGAAGCAATGTATTTGTGTATAGGAAAGTGCCCCAATGTCATAATGTATTTTTGACTGTTGGCAGGCTCTTAATCAGGATAATGAGATCCAGATCCACTTTGGGTTATGAGTCCAAAGAAAGACTTAGACTTAGGTGGCTAAATTAATATCAAAGATAGCAATTTAGCTATGAGAGCAATATTCAAAACATCTGCTCAAGTGCGAAAAATGTCTGAAGTCCTCAATGTTTGAGTCAGTGAAGTACTGGTTTGTGTGTGTACAGAACTGTCTCCATCTAAGCATTATCTGTACTTAAATACCATTAAACTCCATCTAAAGGAGGACTAAAACATCCTCTAAATGGCGGAAAGAAGTAATTGTGCTTTGAGGCTGTATAGCATGTACCTGCAATGAGTTCTTACAAAATGCGTCAGACAACCACTGTGCTGAAAAATCAGATTCAGAAGACATGGAAATGTGTTCTGCTTTTGAAATGCTGCATAGATTTAACACACAACTCTTAATTTCCTGACAAATATCCTAATATTTCATTATTTGTAACAGGCCAAAATTCTCTACCCTATTTTGCTAAATTGAGTGATGGGGAAGAATTCAAAATGTTGAACCAGAAAGAAGAAATTAGAGAAAAATTATTCTAGTCACTACAACAGGTATTTGATTTGGAGTGGAACCTAGTTCACCCTACTTCCAAGGGTTGCTTAAACATTTTATCTATTGGCTGTTTAGTGCAAAATGCTTACTCAGCCTTGAAGCAGAAAGTACCGGTGTCTTCTTGCCTTTTCCAAAAAAACCCAAGGGGTAGTCACTAACCCTGACTGTTTGTTTTGTTAAGAATGACTTAGGCACATAACTCCACAAAAACTTTCAGAAATCCTCCATGTCCCTTTATGGTCTCCAACAACAGATACCAACTGCAGCTGTACAGTTAAGGTCACTGATCACTGGTTCTCTCTTTGCCTTGTAGCAATGTATCATACTTTATAGTTCAATTTTCTCATTAAAGATTTCTTTTCTACATGAGACCTCAGTTTTCTCAAAGGTAAAACAGCACAAGAAGCTGTCTTTCTGAAGCCACTTCAGCCCAAATCTGATAACCGTGATGTCAGGCAAAACTTGCAGTTGTTAAGCAACAAAATAACTCCAACAGTCCAGAAAGAGTCTTGTGAGAGAAGGGTCATGGAGGTGATACAGGAGATACTGGACCACTCCCTGAGTGGTGTTATAAAGAAAACCACCATAAAAGCAAAGGTTGAATATCATTCTTGGTGTTTCCTTTTCTCATCTATAGCTTGTGAAACTGCATGCCATAAATGGCTTAATCATTAACAGTCAACCTGTGTAATGGGAGAGATTGTGAATCAATTATTGTTATTGATATTGTGGACTGAGCAGACCATGGGGCAAGTTTTATCCAACTAGCTCAATGTATGAGAAGTACAAAGTAACATGGATAAGACAAATTACACATTAAACATTAATCTATATAGCAGAGCAATCATCAGGAGACTAGCAAAAATAACCTTAGAAGTAATTCATCCAATAGGTTATAGATCATTTTTTCTGTTAATGAAGAATATATCATCTAACTA